CTTCATCCCTCAAAGCAAAACGTCTGACAGCCCAGACTGAGGGCTCTTTTAGAGATGCTGATTCGTTGTTGCGGACGTTCATGCGTTTGAATGCGTCTTGTCGCAGCCGCCGCCCCGAGCCCCGCGTTGTTAACGAACGGGCAGCGCACGGGGCCCGGCACCAGGCGCCAGGCGTCACGGTTCAGGCCCCCGCGTGGGGATTCACTCAGTCTCTCTTTGTTTGCAGAGCAAACGACGGCTGCCTCTACGTTTTCGATCTGGAGCAGAAGAAGCGGACGTTGAAGGTGAGTGCCCGGGCCTCTCGGCCGTCCCCCGTTCCCACGCTCGTCGCCACGGTGGCGAGCAACCGAGCAGGCTTCCGTAGAGTTTTACACTTACTTAGTAGCTCCACCCTGCAGGGGTGCAGTCAGACCCAAAGCCACCACCCCCTCCTCCTCCTCTTCCTCGTCCTCCCACCACCACCCTCCGTGTAGCAGTCAGTAGCTGACCTCCACCATCTGCCTCATCCCTATCTAATGCTCTCTTTCTGAGTCTGTTCCTCTAATTATCACAGTGTGTGCTTGTGTTTGTGTGTGTGTGTTTTTTTTTTTTTATACCCCGACATGCACACCCTTGCAGTGACTCTTCCACTTTTTCAGATTGACGCCCACGAGGACGATGTGAACGCGGTGGCGTTCGCCGACAGCTCGTCGCAGCTGCTCTTCTCCGGCAGCGACGACGCTCTGTGCAAGGTATGGGACAGACGGACGCTGCGGGAGGACAGGCCGCAGCCCGTCGGACAGCTGGCCGGCCACCGAGACGGCATCACCTTCATCCACAGCAAGGTGGGGAAGACAGGACGGAGAAGTGTTTCTTTTTCTTTTTTTTCTTTTTTCCCAGTCAAGAAAAAGTCATTTCAAATCTGAGTCTTCCGTCTTGTTCCGCCGTCGCGACAGGGGGATGCTCGCTACCTAATCAGCAACTCCAAGGATCAGTCCATCAAGCTCTGGGACATTAGGAAGTTCTCGCCCAAAGAGGGGCTGGCTGCATCGCGCCTCGCTGTCACGCAGCAAAACTGGGACTACCGCTGGCAGCAGGTTCCCCAGAGAGGTGAGCAGGGAAGGGCTGGAAGTCCCAGCTAGGGTCAGAGGACAAGGAGGCAAACAGTGGTCGTCTCCTTCTATGTGGTCGTCCAGTGTACAGTGATGTTCCTGCTGTCTGTTTGCAGCCCTGAAGAGGCACAAGCTGACCGGAGACACCTCGGTGATGACGTACCGCGGCCACGGCGTGCTGCACACCCTCATCCGCTGCCGCTTCTCCCCGGAGTTCACCACCGGGCAGAGATTCATCTACTCCGGCTGCTCCACTGGCAAAATCATCAGTGAGTGTCTGCGTCTACCCGTATGTTTTTTTTAAATGCAGGTCTCAACTGGCTCCTCAGCCCGACCCTTAGGCAAAGTATCACTGGCTATTAGACCAGTGTGTCTGTGAGCTCCAACATGCAAGCAGAAACAACCCAATGTGAAATGTGTGTGTCCAGTTTACGACGTGCTTACCGGCGCGGTGGTGTCCAGGCTGTCGGGCCATGACGCGTGCGTGAGGGACGTCACTTGGCACCCGTACGAGGACAACTTGATCAGCAGCTCTGTGAGTTCAGTTAATGCAAATCAAATGAAAGCCCTTTTTTTCAGCTGGATTTTATACTACAATTTTGATACTACAAAGAGAGGAATGAAATTGCATATTGAATGTGGCATTGGATTGTGGTAAAGTGGTCAACAACTTTCAACACAAGATCTACATATTTGCTTTCAAAGTAAAATAATCGATATTGTTCTTAAAAACGTTTTTTTTTTTTTTAATAGTTGGAAAGCAAAACTTTTTCTTAACTTTTCCTGATACAATTAGTCAAAGTGTGATGAAATACAGCAATTAATGGGATTTTCCATTAATACTGAGCTCTACCGGGCTCCATTCGCCTCGCCGTGGCCCGGTTTAGGTGGTTTCTGTTAGAAATGTGACGCAACGTCATTTGAATGACACAAGACACAATAAAGGAGATTACGGCATCCGTACCGGCTTCAGTGCTGGACCATGGTGTTGGTTCATGTGGGACACATTTACATTGTATTTTTTAAAAGGTTGACGTTCTCGTCAAGGAGTCTCTTTCACAACTAATTGGGTCAGCTCAGTAGGTGCTAAAACTTCGGTGTTGGTTCCTGAATGAATCAGCTGTTTACAATGTTTACGATCACAGAAATAAAAATTTGCTATCTAATCATGTGACTCCCCGACCAATCCGCACCCGGCTCTCTGCCATTGGCCTCACTCAGCCCCGATGGAAACTGGGCCAGTGGAAACCCCTCTTATATACATATTTCCCTGTGACAGTCGTGTCACCGTGGGTGCCCCGACAGAGTCTTTTAGAGACCAAGATTCGTTGGTAACAGGTTTTATTTCGAGCGTGTGTGCGGCCCGCACACACACTCTCTCGCATACACACACACACACTCACGCACGCCCGGCTAGGGCTCTTTGGTTGGGTGTCGTTCGCCTGCTTGGTCCCAAGCTGGTGGCTTGGGTTCTGCTTCGGCTCTACTCAAAACCAGTCCTCCCCAGGTCCAGCACGCTACTCTTTTTACAGAGGGGAGAGTGATTAGCCAACCGGTTCCAGGTGTGTCTAATCATCTCCCCTGGCACTGCTCACCTGAGCCTTCTCCACCCCTCCCCCCTGCAGCTGAGCGCCACGCCCCCTCCACATTCCCCATTAACAAATCGGTGGGTCTTCAGAATTGATTTAAAGAACTTTTTGGAAGGGAGAAATCTTTTTTCCCAGCCTGTTGAAACATCCTCAGCCTCGTCCCACTCACACTCTGAGTGTAGACTCTTGGTTTGGACTAGTCTGAGTCGTTATTACTTTTTGCGTTTTTATCTATTTATTTATTCATTTTTGTGCACACGTGAACTATTCAGCGTTTTTAGTAATTCAAGACGTACAGCGGTCTCACCTGGTTCCCGGTTGTGGTTTGTCTGCAGTGGGACGGCGCAGTGCGAATGTGGGAGCACAGACAAACGCACCCCTTGGAGGAGGAGCGGGACAGAGTCACCGTCGACAGGAAAAGCGCAGCGATAGACGTAAAGTGACGGAGAAAGAGACGCAGGATGCTGTGACATCACGGCGGATTGCGGGGGAAAGCTGGCCCCTGCAAAGGATGGGGGGTTTGTAAGCGTACAGGGACTGTGAGAGACTTAAATATCTTTTTAAACTAAATGCTGGATAATAATGATTACAGGTTTAGCATGGCAGTGAAGTATTCATTTCGGAAGCCATCATGGCCTCACATCTCTTGAGAGCAGGCTGGAACACAGCGGGGCTTGCCCCGGCCCACGTCTGAATTTCTATTTGGTTTCAACCTCATCGTCTCGCACAGGAGAAACAGGACGGTGTTTCCGGTGTTCACGTCACCATTAAACACGGGTTGAAGCTGGAGGTGTTTAGCTCTACACTTCACGAGCCACTAAAATTTAATGAAAAGATAGTGACAGAAAGAAGGTATTGTCTGGTATTATAGGGATGTGATGGTGATAATTCTGTATACATGTATAGTATTTTAATGGTATGTATATTCAGGGAGTGGATTAGGTAGCTGCCAACATGCTGATTTAGAGTTTTGACTCTACTGACAAAAAAGAAAAACACATCTTATGTGTTGTTGTTTTTTTGGGGCGAGCCCATTTAAAAGCCCTCAAATTTCAGTCTGAATATGCTACACTTTTGTTTTCCAGTTGCCCAAAGTCACAACTTTAGGCAACAGTATTTTCCCCTGAGTTCACCACCTGTTTATAGCGTGGTCAGGCTTTTCTAAGAGACGATTGATTTCGTGGGGCAATATTACTCGTGCTTTGTCCAAAATATTTGAATACGTGTGATAATATGACAAAATGAGGACATTACACACAGATCTGTTTATGCAATTTTCAGGTGTTTATGTCACATTTCACCCAGACTGTTGTTTTACAGTAACAATAAAAACCTTTCTTTAAATGTATTAAGAAGAAACGTGTCTGTCTTCTTTATTAAGCTCACCTTTTTTAGGCTTATAGTTGGCTTATACTTAACTCTTGTCTTTTTTTTTGTGGATGGTGAGATCTTTTAAAAAATCATTTATCCTTGGAATGTAGTTAGTCTAGTTTATGTGGTTTACAACAGGGGCCAGACTGGCCTTTAGCTGTAACAGTAGCCATGGCAAAGCGGCCTGAAGGGCATTGTAGTGACAGATATGCGCTCTAAAATTAGGCCGGGCTTGTCCTACACGTCTGGTTCCGTGTACACCTTCTGTTCCCACTCCCCACAACGCTGATTCTTATTAAAGCTCACAAGCGTTTTGTCACTGTGTGACAGACCGAGATGCCTTTTATTGCAAAGAACAAGCCACTTTTGCTCATGGATCCCAGGGAAAGACTGAATTGAGAAAGGTTAAAGACGAGGTCAGGAAATAGAGAAAGAGGCTGAAAGTGCAGTGAGAAACGCAGCTGTTTGCAGCGCCAAATGCACTCTGGCAACAGTTTACAACTTAAATTAGCTTCGCCCTTAAGAGCTAATTCTAAGAGTGGAGAAATGAGAGGGAGCCACGTGATCTTTTGTGTGACAGGTTCGCTCATTTCGCATCACAATCCCGCCGCCGTCTAAAGAGAAATGGCGGTTTGACAGTCTGCCCTCCTTAAGCACCCACTGCCTATACAGTGGGTGCTGGATCATTGTTTTAAAAATACTGATATCATTCCCACTCTGGCAGTCACTGCCAGTCCATCTCCTCTTTCAGTCTGTGTCCTGCACTGGGGGGGAGGGGACAGAGGGGGCTGTATTTTTATAGACCGTGTGCTCTGCTGCATGCCTGACAGTGAGAAAGTGGAACTGGTGTGCCCTTCGCACACTAAACAAAGTCAGGACATCAGACATCCACAGGACTCCCGGATTGTTAAACAACCACTAAAACGGTTGCCAGGCAGAGTCAGTCGGTATGAATCCAAAGGCTGGAGGCCTCCCAAATAGCCTCAAACCGGAAATTAACCTTGAGAAGTTGCAAAAGTTAGTCACAGAGGTGATGCTGCCCGGAAGATTTATCCTCAGACCCATGAACGCCACTCTGGAGATTCTCACAGACACGCTGGCCTGGATTTTGGGAAGCCACCTGATCAGGAGACACTTCCACCTGATGCTATCAGGGCTGGTTCTCTTCGGACCTGTGCTGAGTTTCTGGGCGTCCAAGTACAGTATTTTTGCAAACAGCAACCACTACCTGTACAGGTAAGAGCCACTGGAAACTGGTAGTGCTCTTTGTATTGACACAAAATGGATCAGATCAAGTGGTTTTTTATCAGGTTCAGCTTATTGATCGAAATATCTTTGAACTTGTAGAGACTGAACACCTCTGGAACAAATGCAATGATGTACTTAGGTATTTAGAAATGACCAGCAGCGGTTTTACATTATGTATCCAACATTTTGGCAGGAAAGCATGTTTTTTAAATTATTTTTCCATTATGTTACTGGACAAAAGAAATTAGTGTTTTTTAATAGAATTAAATCCCCTTTAATAGTATTGAATTATATTGAGATGTATAATGACATCAATCCAATTTCATGTATAACTAAAGTCTGATCTCACATCATGGCCCTAAACTCATGCCTTTTTTGTAACCATAGTTTGTTTTGATTGAAAAAATAGGGATAAACCTGGTGATGGTTCTGTTTTTTGAACTTTTAAAAATAATGGATGCAGTGCTGTGACATTCCAGGAACTCAGACTTTCCCGGAGTGGATTCCTGACTGTCTCCCCTCTCACAGGAAGTTCCTACGGTCCACTTGGGGCTGGACCTGCATCCTGACAGCTTCCCTGGTCGCGGTCATCTCCTTCTCGGCCTGTCGCCGCTTCCCCCTTTGCCTCCGGCACCTGTCCCGGTTGGGGGTGGCCAGTTGGCTGTGGTGGGGTTGCCGGCGCCTCCTGACCATGCTGGAGGACGCCACGGGGACCTGCTACGAACCCGTGGCGGCTCCCCAGGAGGCCCAGAGCTCCGACTCCGCGGCCCAGGCTCTCCTGCTCCTGCACGAAGATCAGACCAAGGCCTCCTGCCTCCGGGCCAACATGCTGTGGCGGGGCTACGAGGTCTCCCAGGACATCCTCATCCTCTCCTTTTGCTGCCTGCTGCTGGTGGAGGAGATGTCCGTGTTCGGTCAGCACCTGGCCCAAGAGAAGCGTCTGCAGAGGTCCCCTGGTGCGCCCTGCCGCCTCCTCTTCCTCCTGTGCGCTTTTCTGCTCTTAATATGGGTCCTCCTGCTCCTGTGTTTGCTCGCCTACTTCCCCGTGTGGCCGGCCCATCAGCTGGGAGGAGCGCTGGGTTATCTGGGATGGAGGGGACTCTATCAGGGCTGGTATCGACTAAATGTGAGCTGGGGATCTCCCGGTTTGCCGGGGGAAGGCCTTTTCAACCACCTCTCATAATCAACCTCAGTAACTTCACACATTTCACCAGTACAAAAAACAAAACAACAACTCAAGAATCAAGATGCTTTATTTTGTCATTTGAACCAAAACGCATACTGTAAGAAAAAATGAAGACACGTCTATCAGAGTAGAGGCGCCGTTGCTTGATGAGAGTGTCTCCGGCTCAGTAGATGAGAGCTTTCCCGTCTCCTCTGGGCTTCTTAATCTTGTCGTAGTTCTTGTTAATGATGTCGAACAGCTCGGACTGGAGGGAGGAGAAGCAGACGGTGAGCGTGAGGCAGAGAGCGATGCCCAGGTACGGAGCTTTAATGGAGTCCAACAGCCCCTTTCATCAAGCGCCTCGTTCATTAACGCCATCAAAGGCGGGAGGACAATGGCGGCGGGGAGGAAAAGTGGATTTAATGGACAGGAGATGGAGTGCTAATCAATTTAACAGGAGCTCAGTAATTACTTTAATTACCCTCCCATAAGAGGGGGTGGACTCCATTTAGTCATCATCCTGCTGCTTGGACACAGCGGGAATATTTTACATGCAAGCTGTTCGATTCCAAGTTCGACTCCAGGCTCCGGATAACGGAGCCTGGAGTTTGAGTGTCAACATCCAGAAGATTTGAACACTTAGTAGGTGTCTTACGTATGTGTTGCGGATGTCCAAGATCACGAGTCGAAGCTCGCAGTACTGGTACTGGTCCAACTCGTGGACCAGCTGCCTGTAGTCTCCCTGTGGCAGTTTAGAAGCAAATAAAAAAAGCATCAGAACCTGGCAGAACCTAAATGGTGAACTCTGTCGAGTTTACAGTTAAAAGAAAACAAGACAATTAAGACACTGACCACATGGGAAAGCTTGGAGGCCTTGGCCACAGCATCCCCTCTCTCATTGTAATATCTGACGAGATGGAAAAAAGAAAAAAAGGAGACGGCTTACAACTCCCCCATCCATTGAGACCAACCTGAGCGTCCACGTGTCAGAATACGGGGTTGAGAAACAGACTGTTCGTGCTATTGTAAAACAGAAAAATGCTTTGGTGTCAGCACGTAATGCCGATTTTTACCATCGCACAGTTTGAAAATAAAGCTACACGTTCCAATATCAGACAAGTCTTTGTGTCCACTGCTGATGAACAGACTGAAGAGTGTTTACTCATTTTTATTCAATCTTAATACAAATGATTTATCATTTTGGACTGGCTTTGTCAAAACGAAAATAACAACAAACTAAACGCATTAGGATCTTTAACAGTCATGTATGATTCATGATAAAAAGAATAATTTAAAAAAACATGACACATTAGCGGCTGGTTCTTACTTGGAGATCTGAGTCTGGTACGCCTCGATCTTGGTGCGCGTGTTGGTCAGCAGCTTGAACACTTTTTCCTGCCAAATAGGAACAAACGTGGAACGTTCAGCTTTGTGTGACCGCAGACTTTTAGTCTGAAGCCTGAAGCTAAACGTCACGTGTGTCCACGCTAACGACCAGACACCGACCTGTACGTCCACTCCGAAGTTGTTGCCATCTTCAATTCTGGGAATCTGGAGCTGCACCCACATCGACACCTGCCAGTTAGCCAGAGATTCGTTAATGACATACGATAGAATTCCAAGAAACACATCACACATTCTAAGGAGGATTTTTATTTTAAGTAGAATACATTCTGTAGTTCAAAGCATCTGTTTGAATATTTCTCCATCTAAGTTTTACCTCCATCCCAAATCTGAGGTGCAGCTGCTACTTTTTTGCTTTTTTTTTTTTTCTTTTTTCATTCATTAAAAAAAAAAAAGACAATTCACAATTTATTTAAAATCGGGACATAAATGTGACATAATATTCTAATTGGTATATGATTTGGATCCAAAATAGGAAATCTGGCTTCTTACATATGCCTTCCAAACTCCCTCCACCGTCCAATTTCCCTATTTGCAATTAAATGCATATCCAATCACCTCTCTCTGTGAGCAAGAACTCGTGTTAAAGAGTACTGATGTCTACAAAAACCCCGAAGCGAAGATGAACGAAGTGAAGTCTGGAATTAATGGAGCTGATAAGAGATGGAGGAGTTGTTACAGCAGTTTTAAAAGGCGTATAAACCTGCCAGCCGGCGCTTGCATTTTGTGGTGCCAAAGCAGGTCTCGGACACGGCCGCATACAAATACTGGATCGGTGTCAGCTGTCTGCAGCCCAAGGGCAAGTATGCAGTCTAAAAAGAGGCAGACCATGCAGAGGAGAAGCGAGTCCCTTCTAAAAAAAGGCTCAGAAACCGGGCTGCTGTCCTGACTAATTTGCGATATTTTCACCAGAGCTCCTTTTCTCCATGTGCATGTTCTTGCTGTTATTAAATGGTTTCTCTTTCTTTGTCTTAGAAGGTATCACTGCTCTGCTGTAGTGGTGTTTTTTGTCCCTCTTTCCTTTCCTCTAAAGCCCCGTTAAAAGGGAGTTTTCTCTCCTCACAGACGACTCGTGCACACTCAGGATGGGAGGAGAAGATTTGGTGCAATCTGCTGCTTTCCTTATGTAGGAAACTTTTTTATAAAAAAAAAAAATCAGCTCCTTATGAATGCTGGATGCATTTGGAAATTAACAAACTGGAGCTGAGTGGATTATAATTTTTATGTAATATCTGGATTTTTAATTGGACTGTATTTTTCAAGTGCCTATAGATGACATGTTGCGATTTGGCGCCATTTAAATGAAACTACTTGTACTGAATTAATACAGTTTGACTACTGTTGTCATGTCTAACCGTGTTGAGCTTCTCCTTTAGCGTCTGGATCTCAGGTTTGACCTCCCGAAGGAGACTCTCCACTCGCTCGTTGCTGCAGATGGGACCACAGGGAGGCCCTGAAGGAAAGAACATCCCCGAGCACCGGGCAAAACATCCATGAATTTTATTTTCGGCAAAGATAAAGCATGACGAAATGTCTGTGCGGCTTCCCGCTTCCTGACGGTTATCAAACGTGGGGTAAATCATCAGTTGATTATTCAAAATTTACTCCTCTCTCCACTTACCTGAGTCCTCCTCTTTGTCACTGTCTTTGTCTTTCTTCCCTTCCTCAGCCTCCTTCTGCAACAGAAAAAACACCAGATGAGACAGATTTCACTGCATTTGAATTCCGGCACATGCTGACGAATACAATCTCTCAAAATCATCAAGACAGAAAAGATATGCATCTAAATATACATTTTTATGTTATGCTCTGATCATTTACAGCTAATGTATTGTACATATCAGTGTTTTCATACTTTCAACGGGTATAATTTCATGTTTTAACCCAACACATTCAAGTCCACCCATGACCAATTTGTCTTAAGAAAGTCTTTAGAATTAGCAATGAATTGTTGTCATGGTAACCAAGGACTCTTGCTTCACGGCTGTGTCTTTGTACAATAAAAACACTAAATATAAACCCGGAGCCCAGCTGAGATGCTTAATTCTCAGGAAAATTCAAAGGTCGGGGTTGGTTATTATGGAACTGATTGCTTTCACTCTACTTGATCTGCATCCATTCAACCACTTTCTTTCAACTGGTTGCAAAGAATAAGCGGCACTGATCTCATCTGAGGTTTATCAGGCTTTCAGGCACCTGAGACCCATCCCTCGAGAGTGTGTGACCCACCTCCTCTTTCTTCTTGCGTTTGGCCTCCTCTTTGGCCGGATCTGGAATCGGGATGTCCAGCGGAGCCTTCAGGGAAGCCAGGTCGTCACAGTTAAAGGACGTCTGCAAACAGCCACAAGGCCAGAGAGGGTCAGATCCGTTTTCCAGAGGGAGGAGGGAGGAAAAGAGGAGGAGGGATTTTGATTTATTCAGTCATTGTGTTTTAAGATGTGTGATTGGGCTTCATACCTTCAGCAGCATCTGCAGCTGTTCGATCTTTTGAGGGAAAAATGAGGAAACCAGCTCCTCAGCCTGTAGTAAATACAGTTAATGTGAGTATGGAAACAGGGACACTTTGGGGTGTTTTGGCACAAATCTGGTAACATTACCTCCTTGGAGAGCTTCTGGCAGAAGTCATCCACCTGAAACAATAGCAATAACAATACAGATTTGAAAAAGTAGGGGATTTAACGTCTGATCAACGACGCCCTCCCCTTTCATGCCGAACACTGAATCACTTTCGCTCTGCGCAACAGGCCGCGCAGCCAACCAGAGACCTCACCTCATTTCACCTCATACCGCCGCCTGCTTATCACAACAGACGCCTATCTGCTCATTAACTCACCTGTCAGCAACACTGACACGCAAAGCCCGATATCTGAAGGGGCTTTTGCTTTTGCGTGTCGCCGTTAAACCCCTGAAGCTAGCAGACTGCAGCGCTCACCTGTTTCTTCGATTCGAGGCGAATACCCAGAGAAGCCATGTCGACCCAGCAGATGAAAAGTTAGTTAATTAGACTTATTAAAGTGTTTCGGCGGCCAAAAAGTTATTACAAAAGAGGAAATACGAGCGCTTTTAAGTGTGTAACTCGACGCCGAGTCGGACGCGGAAAGTACGCGGAGTTACTCAGCATAAAAAGCGAAAATGAAAGTGTTGTGCTGTTTCTGATAGCGTATCGCCACTCGTTCGCGTCAGTCGTGTTGCATTGTGGGACTTGCAGTTTCCCCACAATCTCCGGCTCGCTGTTTCCGTGAACAAGCTCAGCTAAGATTAAAATAGAAATGAGTTGGGAGTTCTTCAGTTGTTGTTCAAATTAAGAAATAAACGAATAATTAAAGGTGCTTTTTTAAAAATCATTAATTAAATAAACAATAGACAAGTTTCTACAGACATGACTTTCTATTATAATTTATCCCTTTTATTCATTAAACGATTCCTGTTAAGTAAGTCCCATGACCTCACACACGAGGTCATTAACACATCAGTTTATTTATAGGAATTGAATATATTTGGGAATATTGATTCATACTATCAAAAAAGGAAAGAAGTGTGAATAATTTGAACGTAATTTGTATCTATATTTTCCTAATTGATGTTATGCTGTTACAAACAAGTGCCATTTCTCTCCTATTCGCCTTTTTTATTTGGAAAACTTATTCTTCCCTCAATCTTCCCAGTTGTTAACTGTACCCACTGGATGGTGCTGTTGTTCTGAGTGGAATTATCCCAGCTGACATGGGCAAGGGGCGAGGCACATCCTAGGCAGTTTGCCTGTCCATTACAGGGTCAGACAGAGACAAACAACCACACACACTCACATTCACTCCTTGGTGCAACTCAGACACTTAAATTGACCTAACATGCCGGAGTACCCAGAGGGAACCCACACAGATATGGGGTAATCATGCAGACTCCATACTGAAAGCCCCCCTCCACACAAAACATATGAAGATTAGCGTGGTTTGTTCTTGGATTGTTTGCCATGAATGCAAAGACAGAAAACTTTCTGTATCGACCTACATGACATGAGTACTTCAGTACTTTGCATCCAGTACTCACTTAATCTGCTTTTGACTTTCTGCTGTCATGGGGGCTCTTTCAATCAGGAGTTGTGTGAACAAAAGTGAGGGCTGACATTGTCCGGTCAGAGTAAGATAAACACAGATAGCCTAGTGGTTTGAAAAGCCCCTCAGAGCCTCTTAGTGTTAACAGGAGACTGGGGGTCAGTAGTATATCAAACTGTCATGCACCCCTTTTTAAAAGGTATATCTATTGTTTGTATTCACGGCAGTATCATTTAAAACCTGACATATTTAATCACTTGGCCTTTAAGTCAGTGATAACTGGCAATTGAATCACTCTGCTTTCTGTTGAGTCCCTTGAAGATGTTGTCACGACGGATTATTCAGTGTTGGATCCAAAGGCCAAAGGCTGTGCTTGTTTGTTTGTTATTGATTCTTTAATTTTATGGGGTCAGCGATTAAAAGCCTGCAGAGTGGTGTTCCAGCTCAGGGAGGCTGTTGAGAAATAGTCTGGACAAAGGTCGGGCATCTCAGATAAAGTAGGGCATGCAGAGATGAAGAGGCGGGACGCAACCAGGCGACTTTGGGATTCGCCTGCATCTCTGTAAATGATCTAAAAGCAGTGTTTGATCCATTGTAACTCATCACAGTTACACACTGACTATAGTGAGCGAAGACAGAGGGTCAAAATAATGTATTAGAGTTTTCAAACGGAGTCTGCTACCACAACGATACTTTAGTTTCAAGATGCACTACAAAGGCAAGCTTTCATCAACTGGTGCTGGGAAATGAACAATCACAGAAAGTAGAAAAAAAATCTTTGTGGTATAAGCTGTGTTACACAAGGTTAACCCCTGTAATGGTCTCAAAACTTCACTTGCAACAAGTTGTCAAAATGAAGCCAAAACATGTTGGTGAACATGTCACCATTTAATCTGTCACTGTGGCTATCATGATAACCAAGATTTGTCTGTGTCAGAAACTATTCAATGTTCAAAGTCATTCACTCCCCCTACAGCTTGATTACAAATGTGTCATGTTTTTTCCTCTTTTATTGCTTTTACAAAGTTTACATAGCCCAGTTTTTATATTTATAAATGATAAGATAGTAGCACAGAGTAGTTTCATAATGCACAATGGATGAGAAAGTCAATTAAACACCTATTTCTAAAACCATATTCATTTACGATTTGTGACACAAGACAACGCAAGTAAAGTTTCTTTAGGGAGCACAATTCATACGCAAGGCAATTCAAAGTGCTTTAAATCATAAAATAACAAAAGACCAATAAAAACATTTAAATATAAAGAAATAATCATTAATTAATCAAATTAAAAGCGAAGGGCGCAGATAAAACATCTTCAGGTGTAATACGCAAAGCTTGATCGAACTGTTTTCAGCCTGGATTTAAACATCATCAGGGCCAAGATCTTTATGATGGCTGTTCCAGATTTTGGGAGCATAAAACTGAAACACAGCCACACCTGGTTTGGTCCTGACTGTGGGTGCCAGCAGGAGACTTCTACCTGAGGTTCTCAGAGTCCGAGCCGGTTCTCATGGTTCTAACGCATCAGAGATTTACTTGAGAGAGACTTTTTAAACTAGGACCTTTTAAAGTCTGTTTTCTGAGCAACTGGAAGCCAGAGCAGAGACCCGAGCCCTGGACTATTATAATCGTATTTCATGGTTCTGGTCAGAAGTCAGGCAGCAGCATTCTGGTCTGTTTAAAGAGCCCACCGAGCAGGCCGTTAGAACAGCCCAACCTGCTGCAGACAACTGCATGGGTCTTTCTGAGTTTGGTTTAGACACTATTCCTACGATTCTGGCAAAAAACTGATGATGATGTTGACTTAAATTGGCTGTTAAAGTACGGGCGGAAGGCTTTTAGAACACCAGTAAGATTTCCATGTATTTAAATTCAGGCTTTGGGTGCAGTTCTGTGCAATTCTTCACTGCGTTGGATTACCAGTGATATTTGCTCACAGGGGCATGTTGGTGTGGTTGTTTGCACTGATGCCTCACAGCAGGACGGTTCCCGGTTTGAATCCTTGTGGAATGGGACTTTTCTATGTGGGGTTTGCATGTTTTCCCAATATCTGTGTGGGTTCCCACCGTCAAAAAAACATGCATGTTAAACTAACTGAATACTTTAAAATTCCCTCTGGGAGTTAGTGTGTGTGTGGACTTGTAATGGACTAGTGACCTGTGCCTCTTTCCTAACGTCAACTTGCACATGCTCCCAGGGCTCCTAACACACAGAACGGCTGATAAGGCTCCCTGATGAAAGGCTGAAGTGTTCAACTCAGAACCAGATTTATTTGCATGTAAGTCAAGCAGGAGGAAGAGCAAGAGGCAGTATGTTGGTAACCTTGTGTGCCTCAGATTGTTTGCTGCTTTACACAAAATGTTGCACAGGAATGGAGCCTCAGGAGTTAGAGTGACACTATGCTATTATGCGGAATTGTATGGTTCTTAAGATCTGTCCCTAAGGCTCCTTCCCATGGAGGCGTACGGAGGGTTATCAGGAGAGTAAAAGTAAATGAAACACTAGAGGACTCACTTAACTGTCCCTTTCTTAACTAATTCCATTGTTATTCTGCCTCAGTGAAAAATGAACATAAATATTTAATTAAAGTGTTGGTATAACAGGACATTTGTCCCTTGTTATTTTAGGTCACATAAGACCCTACCCAACAAGGATTTTAGGAAGCGGCAAAATGTTACCATGTTGAGAGGTGAACTGAGCAACTATCAGCCTTTAACACATTTTCTCAATTAAACTACTCCTTGTGGCAATTCTGATGATATAATTGTTTTCTTATATTTTAGAGCCAAAGTCTGATGTTGGAACTGTATGGTATGGTAAGTGTGAAGCGGGTCACAAAACATGTATAATTAAACTTAAATCCAAAAGTCTGCTTTCGAAAATATTCTATTATTTTCTAATGTGTTGCAGTAGTTTCAGCCTTTCCATGCCACAGTACATAAGTAGAAACAGAAGTGCTAATACCACAGAGCAGAGTAGCACTGAGAAATGTGTTGTATCAGTGTCCACTTGTTCAACAAGACAGCACAATGAAATCAGTGTTTAAAGGAAAATAGTGAGATTAATTTAGTTTTAGCACTTTTTTTATGTTACTCAAGGTCTGACCGAACAGCAGGATGGAATTCTTACATACAACTGAACAAAACTAGGACTAAATCAGTACACGCTCTCCATTTGTGTGTTATCACTGCATTTTGTGTCTAACATTTATGCATCTGGCAATAAGGTTTGACCTCAGCATAAATGCACAAACTGATTTTATGACCATTGGAATACATTTTTAATTCTATCCTTGTTTTCACAGTTTATTCTAGCGAACAGCCAGTTTGATACCAGACTGATGCATACTATATGTGAGAGCAGTGGCAAGGTTGGAACTATAAAGATCCTAGAACTCTGAAAAAAGCTAATCGGAAGTAATTGCTCCAACTTTGTCGGATTTGAGATCACGTGACATCGTATATTGAGAGTTTCGACTTGCAAACTTGATCATTATCATATTTTATTATTTCAGTTTATCATCATTTAGATTGTTCTGACAATTTTCTGATACAATCCAAGGGTAAAGGTCCAGACCGGGAAGCTCTAAGTTAACAACTGTGATCAGTCATTGTGGCTTTAAGGAGACAAAAGCTACATCCTGAGTGTTCATTTTGGTATTCATTGGATACATAAAGAATTCCTTTTATGGCCAGGGACTGCAGCTTTGGGAGTCTCTCAGCCTGTAGCTTTGATCAGTGAACACGAGAAATGAGGGTGAAGTTTTACCTGACAAGTTGGACTGTTTAATCTCTATTTAAGTCTAAGTCTAAGTAATGAGATAGATATTGCAAAAAAGAAACATACAATGGAAACTTTTCACTCACAAAATATGGAAAAAAGTGTGAGGTGGACATATGAAGTTGTTCCTGGAA